TCCCTGGTTCCCGGGGCTCTGAATTTAGTGAGGAAGACAGACAAGTTTAAAAAAAAAAGAGTCACAACCTTCTCATTTCCTGCTTAAAGAGGGATTAGTGAGGCCTCTGGAAGGTCAGAGGAGGAAGCACTCAGGTTAGCCTGGGGAAGTCAGGGAAGGCTTTCTGATGGGTGTGGGTGTTTGCTGGGCTTCAAGGAAGGACTTAAGAGCTTGGGTGGAAGGTAATACCTTGCAGAAAGATGTTGTCATACAAAGGGATTCTAGAAGAAAGACAAGATTCTAGAAGAAATAGGATATTTTGAGGAAGCCACAAGTGGTGTGAGTGAAAGGCTAAGGGGAGATGAGGCAGGGGCCAACTCCAGGATTTGATGTGTTTTCCCACTTTAAACAATGGGAGTCGGGAAGAATTTTAAGGAGGGCGCTCATAATGTTAGGACTGCCTTTTAGCTAGTTCATTTTTACAGACGATGATCTGAAAGGAAAGGGAAACAAAGGCAGGAAGACTAGTCAGGAGGCTACTACACATAGAAATAATAAAGGCCGTAGCATTGAGAATGAACAGCAGACCCTGATTTAAGATATATTTAAGATATATCACAGAGCTATTAGAGAGGATCAAAACTTAGAGGCCAACCGGATGCATGGGAGGGGGAGTGAAGAGCCTGAGATGACTCCTAGATTTCTGAGGCTGAGCGGATCCAGGTGACATAGCCTAAAATGGAGTAATCAGGAGAAGTAGCAGGGATGGGGCCGGGGCTGGGGCAGAGAGAGAGAGAAGGCAGGGTTTCTGCTGGGATGTGTCTCTGAGGCACCCACTGGGTATGCAGGTGGACATGTCTAGTAGGAAGCTGGAAAGACAGGTGTGAAACTCAGAAGAGAATCCCAGTAAGGACAAAGAAAACTGTGGGAGTCATCAGAATATAAGATGACGCTGAAGTCACAGGTGCAGAGGAGATTCTCAGAGCAAGTTACAGTGAGAGGGGACAAGGGACAAAGGTCACACCTCTGCCTGCCTCCAAACCAACGAGGAAGGGGGACAGAGCTCAGTGATGTCAACTTTCTTACCCCCACAGGTCGCCCATACAGCCAGACCTCAGAACCTAACCCAAGTTCCACCCACTTCATACATAGTCAAAGAGTGCAATGAAGGAGAAAACCACATAACCGCAACTTCAGCAAAGTTACTCACTAGTCTCGCTCCAGTGCCCTGAGGTCAGTGCACAATGACTGTCTTAAGTTTATTAGGTTTATGACACAAATACTTCGCATCCTGCTTCTTTGGGGGAACCAGGAGGATAAAATAGGAGGAATTTAAGAGCTTAAGTAAAGTCACTTTGTGCCTCCACATAGGCTGGTACCATCTTTACTTATCTGTCAATGTGTGTATTTTAGGAACACAAACTCCCTTTTACACCAAACATATCTAGAAAGGTTATTTTAACGCCTTGTTCTTGATCAAGAAATACATCCCCAAACCAAATAATAAGAAACGTATTGTCCATCATTCTGTATTATTCTCTTACTATGCCATGTAACCACGGATAATTGAGGGTGAGCTATATACTTTAAGCACACAACTGGAATTGGCTCTATCCGCAGCACCAGCTGTGCCTGGCTCCTGTGGCTAGATCAAGAGATTTAAGGCATGGTGCTGAAACATGCACTCCCTGTAAGTAAACATGGCAATCTTATTGTGGGGGTGGAGTATAAGAGGTATGGGGGAAGAGCAGTAAGCCAGTGATTGATAACCGAATCTATGAAATGGAAACATCACTATATCAACTACTATAATTTTATAAAAGGACCTTCTATAAGGGTCATGAAGCAGGATCCCCTGACATGTCCAACATTCTCACCAGGTGATTTTATTATCCTTGCTTGATAGTTGAGAAAACTGAGGCCCAGAGAGGGACCTAACTTCCCCAAAGTCTCATGGTCAACTCAGCCCAGAATGCCCAGAGGCCCAGGAAGAATTACTAGCAACAAAAGTTTCTGAGAAAATTGAGCATGGATGATGTCTTGGGATTAAGGAGTTAGCCAAGAAATCAGGCAGGGCAGCAACAGCAAGGAGCCTCTTCAACTACTTTTCATTTAGATCAGAGGGAGGCCTGGACACCGATCCTCTTAGAACAGCTGATTTCATATTGTCTGGGGCAGGGAACATTCTGGGTCATCTTTCATATATTGGCAAGGTACCACCACCTGGGAATGATGGTACAGACACAGACTAAACATGCCTGTTTACACTGGTATTATGGAGTCAAAGAATCAATGCAATCACTTTAAAACTATTATTTAAAAACACCATTTCTCAGTAGGCATGGATTTCTTTATTTTTAATAATTTTAACTCTAATCCCATGACAGGAAAAGATTTTTTGACTATTTCATAATTATGCTGAGCATAAAATGCTTTGGATTCATCCTATCTACCGTATAGTACTATACTAGGAATGATTTTACACTCCAGGGGACATATGGCAATATTACAAGACATTTTTTGTGGTTGCAAGTGGGAGATGCTACTGGTCAGTTGAAGCCAGGGATGCTGCTCAACACCCTATGACAACAAAACATTATCAGGCCCCAAATGTCACCAGTGCCACTGTTGAGAAACCCTGCCATCAAAGACAGATGCAGGAAAGTGGAAAGCATGAATTCACTCTTCAGCTCCTGTTCTGGTACAGTAACAAGTCTCTCATATTCTGGCTTTAAAATAACATAAAAAGGTTCCTATAGGATCAGCCAGTGTTCAACCTGATCTCATTTTCTTAAATACCAGGGCAAAATGCTTAAGGCTGAGCAGTGGACTGCAGAACCAGGCCACCAGGACTCCTTTTGCAGGGGTTCCTCCTACCTGTGTCTGTGTTTCCTGGCTCTGTGAAAAGAGCAACAAAGAGAACAAATTCTTTCCTAAATCCTCAGGACAGGGGAGTTTAACAAGCCTCCCCAAAGAAGTCTCTAAAAACAGTGTTATACAGGCAGTATGTGGTAAAGCGTATGGAATCTCCACCAGAGGTGTTTGCAACCCACACAGTATTTACTGTGAATCTACTCCTGACCTAATGAGAAAAACAATTTGTTTCAGAAGTGCCCGAGCGTTTTAATAACACACAAGACTCCGAATAGTCTTAGAGTTGGAGACAACCCCGTCTTGACCGGCAGCTCCCCAAATCCTCTTCATTACTGATTTTTACTGTTTAGTTCTCATGGTTAATAATGTTTGGAGACTGTTAGAGCATTTAGAAATTCTGACCACTTAATTGTGGTTTCAGAAACATCATTCTTTGTCTTTAAGGAGAAAATCAGACAACTGAAAACTCGGATTCTAATTTAAAAAGTCTGAGAAGTGCAGGCTAGGTAAGCGGTCAGAATGGGACTGAAAATTACAGGTCTTCTTTTTCAAAGCATGTACAAGGATAGGTAGTTCGGAGCTGAGGCGAGACAAGAGAGTACTGGTGAGCTCCCTCTCCACATCACGTCTATAGAGAAAAGTCGGTGGGTGGAGGCGCAGGGAGGTGGGCTTGCAGGACCAGCTTACTTTGGGTATGATAGCTGTAGATGGCCAGTCCATGGGAAGGCCAGTATTGGGAGGTCCCCCCTGACAAACCCACCTGCATGCTATGGGGGAGCACCTCACTTTGAAATCCTGAGGGCCGGAAGCACAGCTGAGAGCATGCTAAAGAGAGGACAGGGGTACCCAGAGGCAGCGTCCGACGAGGCACAGCAGGACGCTCCCTCCCGCGCACGGTCTCCCCACCTCCCTGGCAGTGCACTGTCACTTCTGGCAGGGAGGACAGTAAGGCAGGGGGAGTCGCCCACGAGCGGGACTTGTGTCTGAGCCCCAGGCCGCAGGCTGCAGTTGACAAGCGACTGTGGCAGGCCTCGCCGAAGCTGGGCCCTGAATCACGCTGCTCCCCGCCCGGCCCCCAGCCCTGGCCCGGCTGACGGCGCTGGGGAAGAGAGGTCCCGGGGTTCGACTCACCGATCTGCCCTATGAACTCGATCTTGATGCCCTGGTGCTCCAGGCGCTTGTTGGGGTTCTTGAGCGCTAGGCTCACCTTTCCGGAGACCGTCTCCCCGTCGTAGAAGAGGAAATATTTTTCCTTCTTCCCGTCCTCTGTCTTGTGCTCGGCTCGCTTCCTACTCTCCGCATCGTTCAGAAGGATTTCCACCTCCACACTCTGCCCGAAGCCGAAGAAGCTCATCTCACCGCCGGGCCGGGCCGGTCTCGGTAGGGTCAGCTCCCTTCCACCCGGGCGCGGGCTGCCCTAAGGGAAGGCAGGCCGGAGGGCCCGATGCGGGAGCGCGCTCGGCGGCCGCACCGCAGCCGGGCTCCGCTGCTGCAGCCAGGCGGTGGGCGACGACCGACAGCCCCGCTCCACGGGGGAGGGGCAGGGCCGGGGGAGGCAGGCGGCTGCGGGCTGCAGCACCCCGAGCAGCAATGCACCGAGGAGCAGTGCGCCGCGCCGAGCCGAGCCGCCCGAGCAGCCGGTGGCAGTGAGCGGGCGAGGGCCGGCGGTGCAAGCTGTGGAGGGCAGCCGCTCAGAGCCGGGTGCGCGTGGCTTGCGCCCACCAGGTGGGGTCCAGCACAGAGCAGCGCAGCCAGCTGCCCAGCCTCCGGCGGCGTAACGCACCCAGGTGCTTCGGCGGCTCCGGGCGGGGGAGGGGGGAGGCGAGCTCCAGCCCGGATGCACTGGATATGCCAAGCGCATGCGCACGCTTCCTTCTGGCTTGGGCCTCCGGGCCGCCAGGAGCTGTGCTCACTACGCATGTGCAGGGGAAGCTCGTCTCTCCCTCAGTTGATATGGCAGCCACAGCCTCTTTCCGGTAGAATCCGGGCCCAGACGACCCGTCAAATCAAAAGAACTGCAGCTGTCTTCTTGGAATGCTTTTGTTTGCTTTTCCCGTATCGAGATACGTGGGGCTACCTTCCACATTCGGTTATGTACAACGTTCGCGTGCTGACGGGTGAAGGTAGCTCTGTGATCAGCACGCGAAATGTCGCCTGACGGGGGCAAAGGTGACAGTTATTACAGGAAGTACCCTGTCTCAAATACTCTTTACATTTCCTCCCATTTAAGAAAAACAAGGCGGGAAAGACGCTATTAGGCTTTAGCTTAGTTCCTGGCTCCTGCTTTAACAGGAAAGCTGAGGAAATCGCCCTGACGAACCTTGTGTAACCGCCATTCCTCAGCCCGCCCCATTCTTTGCGCATGTGGCGCACGACCCAGTTGATTGGTTAATAGAATGAAAACAGTTCGGCACGATGATTGGTCTGTGGGAAATTCTGCACGTTGTGATTGATCCGCAGGAACGTCTCGGAGCGCGCGCGGGAGCGACCTTTGAAAGTTGAGCTCCGCGGAGGCGAGCTGGTGCCCGGGGGTGAACATGGTGGCGTTGCGGGGCCTTGGGAGCGGCTTGCAACCCTGGTGCCCGTTGGATCTCAGTCTCGGTGAGGAGACGCAGCCGCGAGGTCCGGGGTACAGACCTGGGGTGCTTTGCATCCCCGACTGTACCTTAACCCGGGGCTGGCCGGAGTGCGGGTGCGGGTGGGGGTGGGGTGAGGGCTCGCGGCAGGGCCTGGGGTCCCTGGGGCTGTGCCATACAAGGATAGTGGCCAGCCGGGTTTACCATAGGGGCTCAACCCAGTCACGTAACTGTTAAAAAAATAGTTAATGCTGGCCAGTCTCTTCTAGTGCTCGTGCATATGTTTTCTCTGGCTTCTTACTCTGCATATCTTCGTGGACGTATGTATTCTTATCTATTCCGGTGGTTTTAAATTGCAAATCTCTTTCTTCAGCCAAACTTATTTCTTGAACTTCATGCTCATAGGTTCAGCTGGATGTCTGACACGCAGACATCATCAAACGTCGCATGAATGACTCTGGGATTTCCAGGGCCTCCTAATGGCACCAGCCAAGCCACCAACCTGTCAGTCATGGCATTTCTACGTCCCTTTTCATGCCCACCATAACCGGTTGCCCTGCTTCAGAGGTGTCTCATGCCCTCCCGCTCCATTCCTGATGCTGTGACCCAGGCGCAAGCCTTCCTTATATTATAGCCAATGACCTGAGCAACTGTGCCAGTATCTCTTAGCTGCTTTCCGATGTTAAATGTGCCAGCCCATTCCCCCACACCTCTGCAGGACCACCTTTGAAAACACAACTTTAAATGTGTCAAGTCTTTAAACCTTTAATGTTTCCCCTTCATTTCCTAAATAAATGACCAGACCTTTCGCATGCCTTAAAAGAGGCTTCACCATTCTATCCAGTATGCTTTTCCAAGAACATAACTGTTGGAGTCAGAAATACTTGGATTCGTGTTTTGGCTCTACTGCATTGCAGCCATGTATTACTGGGCAAGTTGCTTAACCTTACTAAGCTTCAGTTTCCTTATGTGTTAAATGGGGATTATAATACTGATGGCCCAAGGTTTTTGTGAAGATGAACTTGGTACCTGGCACATAGTAACTGCTAAATACATACTAATTCCCACCCTCTACAGTCACACTCTATGTTGTAACTATTTTGTTCATTTCTGAATACTTTATACTGTCTTTTCCTTTGTGCTTGGTTATGGTGTGCTCTCTGGGGTACACTTTTCTGCATTTCTTTCCCTGGCAAACTCCTACATTCAAGTCCAACTGAAGAAACATCTAACCCACCTCTATCCCTCCTCCTCCTTCCCCAGTAATATTTCCTATTAAGCTCTCTAGCTTTTTTTGTTTTACACATCTATTTCCATGTTAACAACTCATCCATTGTGAAAATAATAACTATCATTCAGCAAGCGTCTCTTATGTGGCTAGCACATTGTTAGGCCCTGTATACACGTTATCTATCTTTCACAGCAATCCTGTATTCCCACTGATGAAGAGGAGGCTGATTACACGTAAGAGATCAAGTCAGGATATTCACCTTGTTCTGATCAAAACTCTGTGGTCTTTCTTCTATCATAGGTTGCTTTTTTGGTATTCTAAGTGTGAGATGGTGAGATCTTTGTGGACAAGAACCATCTAGCGTTCATCTCTGTATTTTTAGCACATATAGAGGCTTTCCCATAGTATTTTCTCAAAATTGTTTCCTGAGTGAATAAATGATACATTTCTTCTCCTCTTCAATCCTAAGTGAAGTAGTGGAGCAGAAATTATCTGTATTTGACAGTTGAGAAAATAGGTAGTGAGGGATTTGTTTTGAATAGTGTAAAAATATTGAAGAAAATAATCAAACTCAGTTTTTCCTATACTCTCACTCAACAATCAACACAGAAGATTTCTATGACCAAATAAATGGCTGATGATCAGGGCCAGTTACTGCGTTCTAAATTAGATTTGCTGCTACTGACAGTAGGGAGCTATTGTAGACAAAGCCAAAATAAGGACTGTGAAAACTTTTGCTGTAGTCTATAATGAGCTTTAAACATTGCTGGAAATATGAAGAGATTCAATTGTATTTTTCATATTTTCTTTAAGGCAGCATATCGCATATCTTTGGAAGGAATGCTATGCAGAGCCACTTGGGATACAGAGACTTCCTCCTCCAGCACCAAGCTCAAGTGATAAAAGATGATAGGCAGATTGTATTCTAAGGAGGATAGACCTAGTTAATTATAAGACTTCCCATTTGCTGAGTGCAACATAATGCTCAGAGCCATGAAAGAAAGGCTGAGGCCACCGAACTCTGTTTGTCTTTATTTATACCCTGCCCAACTTCTCTAAATTGATGGTGAACAAATATTTTCAAAATATTAATTTGAAGAGCACCTCATTAATAATTTGTCTGAGATGTCCCCATGTTTCCATCTAGTCCTAATTTTAGGCTTGGGGAAATAACAATGAAATCATTAAATATAGTTTGTGAGAAAAGTATGAGATTTAAAGGTAATAGAGATTGTCAAGGAATCTAGCTAGATGCTGTCTTAATGTGACCTTCTCACAACATACGTTCTTCCCATCACTGTATTATGAAGTCACTGAGTATCTGTATGAGTATGAATCTGGCTTGCCTTTCCTCAAGAAGTTTAAACTTCTTGGGGAGATCATATCTGTTTTTTAACATGCTACGTTGTTGTCCAAGGGCCCCATAAAGTGTGCTGTGCATTTTATGTGAGGTTATTAACTTGATTAGGAGAATTTCACAGAGGAGCATCTGAGGCAATCTGATTAACCTCTGTTCTCTAGATTGAATGTGTGGGAAGGCCAGATCATTAAGTGTTTTGAAGTGTCATTCCCCAAAACTGTTAAATGTGTTTTATTTCTTAATATTTTTAGAAGATAGTTAACCTAATAGCCAGCTGTCAGTTATGATTTAAAAGAAAAAGATTCTCTTAACCTTTTCCGCTTGCCTTTAATTATGTTACATTATAAGTTAAATGTGAGTTGTGACTAATAAGCTTTTCTCCTCTTGAATGTACCTGGAATCTGAAGGTGATTGGTTTTGTACTTGTTATAGAGCGCTTACTGATTGCATTGTATTTTCCCCTAGAATGGGTAGACACGGTGTGGGAGCTGGATTTCACAGAGACTGAGCCTTTGGACCCCAGCATAGAGTCAGAGATTATAGAGACTGGATTGAGTGCATTCACAAAACTCTATGAAAGCCTTTTCCCCTTTGCTACTGAAGAACATGGATCTACGGAGGTAAGAAAATAAAAAACCAAGCTAGCCAACCTGAGGTATTAAAAATGGGAGATGAAAATCATTATGATGATCTAAAGCTTAGCTTTTTTAGTATACGATTTATAGGGACTCCAATGTGAGTAACATAAAGAATATCATTCATTTATTGGACTATCCTAATAGGTTTCCAAAAGGTTCAAGGTACTAGTCTGATTTTTTCCCAAGACATGACCACTTTTTTATAAGAGCAAATTAAAGGAAAAGCATAAAGGCAAAAACAAAAAAACCAAACAAACCAAAAATGGAAAGAAGTCCAAGGAAAATACAAATAACAATTCAAGCATACCTTAACTTTAAGAGAGTCTGATATTAGTAAACTGAGGAATGATTAGTTGAATTACAGATTTATCCAAAGAATTTCTTTAAATATTGAGTTCTACCTAGTATGCTTATTAATATTTAGATCATTACTTTTAAAAAAAACCAAAGGGCTGGGCAGAAGAGCAAAAAATACTTAGATATTAACATCTCTGAAACATTTAAATTAACAAAAAATATTTCAGTTACAAGTTTCACATAGCTGTTCAAAAATTAAATCATCTAATTAAACACTCCTTCAACATAATTCTAAGCACTGCATTAAGTACCTTAGTGGACAAAGTGAGGATTAAGATACATAGCCTCTCCCTAGGTCAAGGACCTTCCCAGGGAGGAAGAGTGGACACTTGAGCACTAGCAAAAGTGAGTCCATCAACCACATGAAGCTATAAGGGGTGGGCAAGTACAGTGCCACTGTGAGTCTAAGGTGGCGTGGAAATATTCTGTGAACCATATTGTAAAAAATGCTCCAAGAGAGGTGGATATCATTTAATAGGGCCATAGAAAAGGGAGCACAATAGGATCGGGAAGTTTCCAGAAAGAAAGTAGCTAGTGGTGAATCTTCACAGATGGGTAGAGTGTTGACTAGCAGAAGTTAGGGTTGTAGGGTGTTCCTAGTGAAGGAGCTACATAATGGGAATATGCACGGAATATTGAGGGAATGTGAGTGGTGTGGGGTGAATGGCACACAGAATTTTTAAAATGTGGGGTGGGACATAGGATGGTAAGGTAGGCTGAAGATAGGTCTGGGAGCTTTAAATGAGGGTGAACTGTGGAGTTGGAACATTTTTAATAGGGTGTTTGTTTATGAGGCTCTGTTCTAAATATCATGCATGTGTTAACTCATCCAGTCCTCCCAGTCAGCCCCTTGTGGAGGAGGTTACAGAGAGCAATAGACCAAGTAACGTGAATGAATAGATCTATTTTAGGACAAATTTCTTGACCGTAGATGGACCGAAGTGGGAAAAATATGTACAAGAGAGATCCCTTGGGAGACTTAACATCGTGATGTGGGTGTTATGGGCGTCAGTGGCATGGTCTGGAGTTGTTTGTGGGAATTCGAAAGGAAGACTAAAAACTAGGGACATTTTTTGAGGTAGAATTAATAGGGCTTTGTGAACTAGGAAGCCCTTGTCAGATAGCTCCAACATGCTGCAGAGTGCTAAATTGACTGGGTATAGTGAGTGAGAGGAAGAAAGAAACTTTCTGAAACTAGGAAGATGATGACATTGTTGACCAAGGTGGGGAATAAGGGAGAAAGAAAGAGCAAGGTCAGGTGGAAATTGAGTTCCATTTTAGACTTTTGAATATGAGGTTCTGTTAGGAGATCCTTGGGAGGCATAATAGGTAGCTAGAAATAAGGGTTGGAAGATCAGGAGAGAGAGAAGAGTCCTGCGAATGAAGGTGGATGTCGGAATGCAGTGACTCATGAGGTCAGCCAGGGAGAGAAGAAGACAGAACAGAAACAAAGCTGGTCGAAAGAGGCCTGACGAGGAGCAAGGCAGAAGGCAGGGAGAGAGTGATCACAGCAGCTGCGGGATCACAGAGCCCAGGTGACTGAACAGGTCCAGGGCGACCTCCAAGGTGAGTGGCATGGAGGTGCAGTTGGTATTAGGAATGAGGATGTGATACTGTGATAGTAGGAGTTGATTTCTCCCAGAAGTTTCCTAGCAAAGGAAAGGGGACTGCAGAAACGACTTTTGATGGTCTCTCTCTAAGGTGGCATGTGCTAAGCAGTGGGGCTAATCCGAAGCATTGGCTACCACTTCCCCTGCCTTTTCCAGGAAGCAGGAAGCACAAGGGCCAATTGTTTAAATGTACTGGACCTTTGTTTTATTTAAGATATAGTACTTACGGATAAACCATATTTAGTTCCTGCTGTGTTTAGTTTATTACAATAACCCACTTCCTCTTCAAGTGTTTAAAAGGAGAAAGCATGGGACAATGACAGAATTAATAAAATTATGGTTTCTGTTCTAGAGTTTGTCTCCTTTCTCACCTAAGCTCCCTATGAAATGTATTGAGGGAGAAGCTGCAGGTGTTTCCTTTCCTGCTCCCATTGTCCACAATCTGCAGAACATTTATATTTAAATAAATTGTTCTGATTTCCTTAGTTAGTAATTAGTGATAAATGGATTTGGGTACATTTAACCTAGATGGAGAAGTAACTTTTCTGAGCAGTCACTGATACACAGTGTCCCGAAAACCTTAGTGTAGTTTTGAGCTATAATAATTTCAGAAGTGTATGTGCTTCAAACTTACCAAAAAATTCTTTTTAAAAAATTACTTAAATTTCTTGTATACTTATTTATCTTGGTAATTTTGAA